TGTAACTCAAGACAGCTAGACAGGCCCCATCTGTTCAGGGAGGCCACATGTGACCTCTCTCTGTCCTTCACACACCTGCCAAGAACACAATGTAGCTCATGGTGACAGCAAGCTGCAGGTGCTAGTGACAGGGCAGGTCTCCAGAGAAGAAGGTGCTGAGTCTGCATGGGCCAGTCCCTCGGCTGGCATTCCTCACCCTTGGAGCCCCCACCCCCAGTGGGCCAGTTTGTGTCCTGGTGGGTAGTGGATGACAACCTCATGACTGGCTGGTGACAGTGTTACTCTGTGGCTGCCTGAGGTCAGGCAGTCTGTGCCCTTGGGAGCCCAGCCTGGCAGACTGGAGTCCTACCTTCCAGACTGGCATTCAGGGGACAGATGGCAAACATGCAGATGGGAGACCTCTGGAGACCCCTGCCCAGCATCCCCTCCCTGCCCCCCCCACTCCCCCAGCTTGGTGTGACACATGGAAAGCCCCAGCCTGGGTCAACCCCAGATCTGGCCTGGAGATGGAGCCTAGAAGATGCAGCCAGGGAGGCCTGAGCAGGGTGTGAGTTGGAGGTTCCTGGGGCACAGGGATCTGGAGAGAAGGACATTTTATCCAGGACAAGGATAAATTACGGGCCTGACAAGAACTGCCATCCTGAGAATACTGGCCCTGACCCAGGCACAGTATGAAATTTTCCAGCTGGAAGTGAAGGCCCAGAAGGTGACCGGGGTCTGTCCCGAGTCCCAGAGTCACCCTGGGCTGGGAATCCTGCAGCCTGCTCTGGTTGGCAGGAGCTGGGGTGACCTTGTCTCTGCCTCAGCTTCACCCTGGGGAGTGTGAGCAGGAAGTGGGCTGGGGAGTCTTGGTTTTGTCTGACCCTTGGAACTGAGGGGCAGGTGGCAGCAAGGATCTGGGTGGAGGCTGGAAGCCCCCCACCTGAAGCTCTGGAGTACATGTGGGAACAGCGTGGACGCTGGTCTGGGCATTGTCCAGCCTCCTCTGTTCGCTCACTGTTGCTCAAGAAGACCCCATCTAATGGCACCTCCAAGAACCCCCTTCCCCGTATTCAGCCCTGGCTCCTGGCTCTGGGGGCCTCCACTCGGGCCATTGGGTAGGAGAAGAAGCCTTGAGCTGTTAGGGGCTTTGACCACAGTGACAGGACACCTCTGCACCCACAGGCCCCTGGAAGGAGGTAGCATCTGGGGCACCTGATGCCTGTTCATCTCCCTCTCCCTGGCACCCGGCAGCCTCATGTTCTTCCTGCTGCTCCCTCCCCTTCCTTGGCTAAGGAGCCGCACTTATATTTGAGATTGTGCTCTGCCCAATTGCTATTCCTCTCCTCTCCTACCTGCCAAGGCCAAGAGCTGGCCAGAGGCAAAGAGGATGTCTAGGAACTATGAGCTGACTCTTGGAGCAGAGGATGTGTAAGGTGTTCTGCCAAGGGGTAGAGGATGGTGGGGACTGAGGGGAACCTGGGGTCTCAGCTCTAGACTCCCAATCATGCCTGAGAAACTGGGGTCCCTGCTGGTGACCTCATCTGGCCTAGCCAGTTCATCCATCTCCCCAGAGTGGGGAGTGGCCCTGGGTCCTGGACCATGCTGTGTGAACTGGCCCGTGTCCTAGATGAACTCGTGTTTCTTGCTTGGTGAAGGATGGCATTTGAGGCTTTGTGGGGACCCTCCTGTCCTCTTTCATGAATGTCCTGTGAAAGCTCTTCTCCCACTTGGCAGATGAGAAATCAAGGGTCAGAGGCTCTGTGGCTCTCCTAAGGTTGTGCAGCTGGGAGGCCACCCAGGTCCTCAGGTTCCCAGCCTTTGGTGCTCAGTCTGCACTCAGGGCCTCATCCCTTGTGCTGCCCTGCCTTGACTTATAGTCAAGAAGTAGGGCTTTGATGGGGGCCTCCCTGGGGAGGCATCAGGCCTCTCCACCAGGACTCCCACAGACACCCCTCCAGGGTTTCGTGCCTGCTGGTCACCCTCCTGTGTGCACACAGAGCAGGTGGTCCCTAGAAGCAGGATTCTTGGCTGACTGGTGGAGTGGAAGCAATGTGATTCCTGAAAAGCCTAGTGGGTCCTGAGCAGCACAAGACAAGGCTCGGGAGCTCCTGGGCAAGGCATTCTGGGTGGGTGGCTGCCACTCATGAGGGGCGTTATATAAATTCTGGGGGAGAATGCATCATGGTCACTGCGTCCCTCTTGGCCTCTGGTTGCTATGGGGGCCATGCCCCTAACCTTCCCCAGCAGCACCTGGTCAATGTGAAGCCCTAGTTGGTGCCACCCCATTAATCAGCACAACTACTCCACCTGAACTGGCTCTCTCTCTGGAAACCTACTTGTGGCTCCAGCTTCCCCTCATGACTCCTGCATCCTCGGGTGGGGGCTGGTCCTCTGTTCTCAGGAGCCTGAGTACAAACAGCTGAGGCTGCCCCACCACACAGTTCAGGGACTTGGACCTCAGGCTGAAGCCCAGCAGGGTCAGCACACCCACGACCTCAGGTTGGATGGTGGACCTGCTTCAATGGGGTCTGTGCCCATCAGTCTCTGTCCTGGGCTCCAGCTCTGCCCAAAGGCCTGGTCCCTGAGCCCCGAGGACTGCACCTCACCCTCCAGCACCCCTATCTCTACTCAATGGTCTGGGCAAGTTCTCGGACAGTTCATGGTGTGTAGGAGACTCCTCCACCACCATCTGATTGTCCTCGGCTGTCTTCTCTCTTCTGCCAAATGCAGTATTAGATCAGGAGTTTAGAAATAGCTCCTTTCAAGACTGTTTCATAAAAAGAAGAACTGAATGGGAGAAGTTGAAAGTCACAGACACAGACAGGACAGAAGGATGCTTCACAAGGGACAGCACACAAAGGGCTGGTGTTTACTGACAAGTCCTAAAGCTCCCACACTCCCTAGCCCACCTGTCGGGCTTCCCTGCCCCTGGAAGGGTCATACAGTCCCTTCACCATCTTGGTGCCCCCTGTGGCTGTGGTGGCTCGGAGGAAAGAGGGAGCAGGTGTTGGGACGTGGGTGCAATGCAGCAGCTGGCTCTGGGGCACCTCAAGGTGGCGCTGTTGGAACCTAGTACCTGCTCTAATTGCCTGCTGGGCTCTGAGCAAGCTGGGTGCTGCTGGGGGCCCCGATCCAGCTGGTGCTGGTGGTGCCTGGCAAGGTTCTTGCCTGGCTGATTAGGGTGCAGCACACAAGGCATTTTGATGTCTGCAAAGCACAGCCGCAGGGCTACGGGAGACTGAACTCCCAGGCAGAGACCGCTCCCAGGTTCCCTCCTCATGAGGTTCCAGACCCTCAAGTACAGCGACCAGAGCATCCCCAGTGCTGCAGCAGTAGCATGGCCTCAGAGGAGGGGACCCCCACACACCAGGTGCGAGGCGCGGGTGCTCAGGTGTCTGGGCAGGGGCTGCGTTGGGCGGCACTCACCGTGCAGCAGGGCATGAGGGTCGCTGGGGTTTCTCCTCCAGGCTGGTCCTCGCTGCCTGGTTCAGCTCTACTGTCCCCAGTGGGCTGTGCCCGCCCAGCGGATCGCTCAGCCAATGGCACGGACCCCGGCTGCTCCGCCCCCAGCGCAGGCTCTTCCTGGCTGGGACCCTGCTCCAGACAGAGGATCTGAGTCCTTTCAGCCACACAGGTGTTGCGCTCCTGTGTGGGGAGGGTGCTGCGTCGGGTGGGGGGCTGAGGAGGATGTTGCAGACACTGGGGGCTCTCAGATGCACATCCCAGGGGCAACCACAACTGACCCTGTGTGTAGTGTGTCTAGAGCCAGCTGTCCCCTCCAGCAGGACCAGCTGCAGCAGCTGCCTCCTGGGCACCAGGCAAAACTGGCTGCAGCCTCGGTTGCAGTGCAGAGCTGGGTGGGCAGAGTGTGTTACTTAACACCAAGAAGCCGCTGCCCCACTCTGCAGCGGGTTTGTTTAGGGACTTCGGGGAAGCAAAGGGTTCATCCTTAAACACAGAGAAACCCTCCTGACAGGCACCCCATGACTTGTGATGGCCTTTCCCTCTCAGCAGGGGTGGAGCCTAGCCTCAGGACTGAGAGGGTAGACAATGGCCTGGCATCAGACACTGGCTAGAGGTTCCTAAGATTTTGGCTCATCTTCCCATATTCTAGAGTTATTTCCCATTGCTGAGTATCTAGCTCCCTCCCAGCTCATCTTAGCTCAGCTCAGCTCAGTTCAGACAGGGCCAGCAAAGCCCAGCACAGCCCAGCCCAGCCCAGCCCAGCCCATTCTAACACAGCTCAGTCCAGTCCAACCCAGCCAAGTCTAGTCCAGCCCAATGTAACCTGGCTCAGCCCAGATCAGCCCCACATAAACCAGAATCCCTCAGCCCAGCCCAGCCAAGCCAAGCCTAGTGCAGCTCAGTTCAACTCCAATCAGTTCAGCCCAGTCTAGCTCAGTTCAGCTCAGTCTACTAAGCAGTTCAGTTCAGCCCACTCCCCTCTGCCCAGCACTGGCCAAGCCTGTGGTTGATAGGAAGTCTTTTGGGGAAGAAGGCTGCAGAAGCCAGGCTGAGAGGGCCACAGGTGTCCAGCATACAGGTAGCCTGGGGGCTTCTAGTAGGTGGTTGCTGGGCGGGCAGTTGGACAGATGGCCTCAGTGCCTGTCCTTTGTACCTGGAATGTGTCATGAGGTGGCCCCTGGCTCTCTGCTATGGGCATCTTTGCCTTCCCTGTGCCAGTGTGAGGCAGGAACAGCCTGTCCTTAACAGGTGTGGCTCTGCTGCCAGCCCAGTTTCCTGGATAGCAAACCTCATAGTGCTGCAGAGTGGGCAGGTTGGGGCACATCTGCCTGCATGGTCTTGTGAACATGACACTGGGACCACTCCTTTGCCCAAGCTTGTCACATCAAAGAGAAAGCAGAAGACCCTGGAGGCTGTAGCTTGAGCTGGCTGAGCACACTTTGCCAGGATCCCTGGGGGATGGGGGGGTGGGCAACCCTTCTAAAGAGATGGAGTCCAGTTCAGTGTATGTAGTAAGTGCTCAAAAACACATGATGTCATGTTGTTTCTCTCAGATGGCCCCCTCAAGGATGCCTCCTGGAAGACGTCCCATTCCCCAGATTACAGATGTGGACACTGACTCTCTGTGAGGCTCACCATCCCAGGCCTCTGTAGAAGGATGGCTCAGAAAATGTGGAACCTCATTTCCCAGTGCATCAGGGGCAGCTGTGGCAGAAGGAAGCTGCTCTGTGACTGGGCAGGTCGGGAGCAAGTATGAGACGTTCATCTTATTCATCTTGGGGGCTCTTGGCATTCTAGAACATTCTGTACCCACCACCCAGGCCCAGGGGTTGCTAGCATTTGTTGCTGCAAAGCCTGATATAGATCCCTGCCCATCCTCTCCCTTGTCCAGAACCAACAGAGAGTGAACAGTACCAGGATGAGGTGGAGGGGTCAGACACCTTCCAGGTGTCTCCAACATTACCAAGTGGCACGCAGGTCAGTATGAATGGTTGTCCATCTGTGGCTAAGGAAACAAGACTGTCAGAGAGGTACTACCTGCTTCGGACAGGGGTGGGTGCAGTCCGAGCAGGTGTGAGAGCAGGGACTTATGCTGCACACTGCTGGGGAGTTGGGGGCCTTGCTGGAGTGGAGTTTGGCTCCCTGCCAGCCTTTTCTTGCCTGGTTGGCCAGTGAGAGTGCCTTCAGGCAGAGAGGGACAGAGACAACTTGCTACTCTATGTGCAGAGGAAGAAAAGGAGTCTTTGTCACTTTGGTTCCTGTTATGGTTTATATTCTCCTTAGAGTTATGGGTGTTGGGTATTTTGTCCTGGCAGCGAGAAAGTAGCTGAGACAGATTTTTGGTACCAGAGAAGTGGGTTATTGCTGTGATATATTACCTGACTGGGTAGTTCAGAAGCCTTGGGAACCAGTCTGTAGGAGTTTGGAAAACAGCTGTAGAATACTGTAAGCCAAGCTTGATGGGAGATTCTGGTCAGAGCTCAGGAAACCAGAATGTTAATAGAAATGCAGCTGGTAGAGACCAGGCTCAGGAGGTTTCAGCTGGGAATAAAGACTCCATACGCAGGTCAGCCTCCAGCCCATGTGTATTATGCTTTGGCAGAAAATTTCTCTACATTTTGGTCATATCCTGAGACTTTGAGGGAGACTGAGACTAAGGATGGCAGACTACTTAATCTGATGGAGGAAATTTCAAGGCTCTGGGTTGGGCACTACTGGGGGCTTTTAGCCAGATCTACACAGAGAATCAAGAGCGAAGGGCCCAGCAGAATGCTTTTAAAAGTTTTGAGTTTGGCCAGAAAGGAAGCTTTGATAAACTTGGGGCCTTCAAAGGTGGAGCAGAGGAGCTTTGTTGCTGAAAAGAAGCACTAAAAAGAATTCAAGTACTTTGGAATGGGACAATAGGAAAAATAGCTTAAGGGCATTTGAAGAACCATTGAGGACTCACCCTTTGAAGACTCAAAATTGCAAAAGTGAAAGACTTTGTTTTGAGAAGAGAGCCCCAGGGCACTGTTTTCCAGCTTTGGAGAAGAGCTGCCTGGGGAATTGATTCCCCTGGATTTACGCTTAGCCAGTCAGGCACTCAGATGCCTCAGTAGCCCTGAGCAAGATGCAAAAGGGCTTAGCTACTGCTCCAGCTGGTGGCTGAGCTAGGCATTATGCACAGGGTGCTGGTTTTATACAAATACAGAATGTAAGAGTTGTGGGGTCAGGGAGACTTCCACCCAGATTTCAGAAGCAGGCCTGGGAAACCAGGCAGTGTTCCCCTGAGAGGGCAGTGAAGCTGTGAGTGTGAAGTAGAAAGTGCAGTGGAGACCCCAGGATGTTGCAAAAGCCAGGAACATGGACTGGCTGAGAAAAACCCCAAGGATCGAGCAACAGCATCCCAGGAGAGAAGCAATGATGATTACAACCATAGGCACGGTCATAGGGGCGAGGCCGTCGAAGGCCGGTGGAGTTCACATCTCACCACAGCTTGCCCAGGGTGGCAGACATGAATCTACAGGATTTAATGTTTGTCCTGCTTGGTTTTAGTCTTGCTTTGATCCGATTGTTACAGGAAATAATACGGGGATGAAATAAGAAATATTATATCTCCCAACCTGTTAACTGTATGATATGCCAAGTTCTTGTTCTCTAGAAATTGAGGAAGGAGTCCTAGGAACAATGGAAGTTAAGAGTAGGAAGACTCCTGAGGAAAGGTCCTGAGGGGCAGGAGGGGACCTGGGTTGGTAGCCCCCGGGAGCTCACTTTACCGAGGAGCTTCATAGGGTCAAACCCATGTGGGTATTATGTAGGCCACAGCCGTGATCATCCAATAAAGTTACAAGTATAGTCACTTAGGTAATAGAGGTCCAATTGGGAAACAAGTCACGTAACAAGCGTGGATGGAAAGAACAAAGAATCTCCTAGGAAGTGGGTCTAGAGGTCTCTGGTCACCCACCTGGATGGCTGATGTCTATCTAGACTTCATTAGGCCCAGTGTTTGTTCTTTGAGGAAGTCTGGAGGTCTGGTCATCTTGTCTTTATCTTGAGGCCTGGTTTTCAGTTGTGTCGATGTGTCTCTGGTCATAGCTGTGGTGTGTTTTGCCTTTGTCCTGACCCTCTCTCTCGAGGAACTAGCCTTATCTGACTGCCTGTAACCCATCTGTCTGTAATACTTTTCCTTTCCATCCTCCATTTCTCCATTTTGGAATGGGAATGTTTACCCTGTGCCTTTGTATGTTGGAAGTGTTTAACTCTTCAGTTTTACAGGGGTACACAGCTAAGCGTGTACCTGAAACGTCAGGGTAGACTTTAGACATGGACTTTTTGGAAGTGCTGAAACTGTTAGGACTTTGGCAGCTCTTAGAGATGGACTAAACACATTTATTTTGTTTGTTTGTTTGTTTTTCTGGTACTAGGGATTGCACTCAGGACCTTGCACTTGCCGGGCAGGCGCAGCACCACTGAGCTAAATTCCTGGGCCTAAACTAAATACATTCTGTGTAAAGGGATATGCATGAGTCTTTTGGGGGCCAGGGATGGGATGTTATGGTTTATATCTAAATGTTACCCCCAAAGACTTATGAGCTCTTAGGAGGGGCTTTTGGGAGGTGATGGATCATGGGGGTGTGATACTTACCAGAGGATTAGCCATTGATGAGTTTGTAGCTAAATGTGATGTTGGGAGGTGAAGCTGATAGAGGACGTGGGTCACTGGGGGTGTGGCCTGGAAGAGTCTAACTCCCTCCTTTCTCCCTTGATCCCTCTTTGCTTCCTGCTGCCATGGCATAAACTCCTCTGCATGGCCTAATTCTCCTCTGCCATGCCACCCTGCCTTGGAGCCAACTGACTGTGGACTGAAACCTCTACAAAATGTGAGCCAAAATAGACCTTTTCTCCTTAGAGTTGTGTGTGTCGGGTATTGTGTCTCAGCAATGAGAAAGTAACTAAGAGAGTTCCTTTTTTTTTTTTTTCTTAAGTCTGTCATTTTGTTCTTTCCAGGGAGAGAATGGCAGAGGTCCATAACCTTCATTTTTCATTGTCAAGAATGAAAATTCCACCTGTCCTTCAGGTGCCCCACATTCCCTGCCTCTCTACATCCTCTCCTTCCCCTAGAGCTTCCCACTTTCCTCCCTCCTCCTCCTGTCTGCCTCTCCTCCTCTCTTCCTCCCTCCCTGATTGTCTTCTCTTCCCTCCCTCCCTTCCTCCTCTCTCTCCCTTCTGATCTCCCCTTTCCTCACCCTCTCTTGTTCTCTTCCTCTTCTCCCTCCCACTTCCTCCCTCTCTCCTGTGCAGCAACACTGACTGGCACCTAGCTGGCCTGCATCCAGCAGTGACAGTACCAAGTTGGCACTGAGGCTCCTGAGCCCTACGTTCACCAGCACTTGCAAACACCACTGAGGAGGCTTGCGTCATATAAGATTTAGAGATTGCTGATGTCCAGTCTTGGGAATGTGGAGACCTGCCCAGTGGAGGAGCTGCTTGAGTGCCTGGGGCTGGGAGGGCATTGATGTTCAAGGAGGTGGTTTAGGGAAGGCTGTGAGCTGAGGGGCATGGAAGAGGTGTAGGGCTGTACCATGGTGGGATTTCAGAGCCCATGAAGGGGCATGGAGAAAGTATTTGGAAGTGAGGAGTAAGCCCTGTCGGGAGCAATTCTACATCATTTTGGGGAAAAACCATTTGCTTAGGCCTAGTTCTCCTGCCTACAGGCCAGCTATGGCATTTTGACACATGATTCTATTTTGGCCTCCAGTCACAGCTAAGACCTCAATGGTCCAGTTATGCTGTGATGCTCCATGACAAGATTACACCAGCTGAAGATATCCTGGGAGGAACAAAATCTTCATCTACTCAGTTCCTCGATGTTCTTGGATTTCTGCTGCCCCTCAGTCATTTGTTACACTTTGTTTATCCCGATGTACTGAACTCTCTGCAAGTCATTTGTTACCTTTGTTTCTCCCAATGTACTGAGTACTGAATGAAAGGTGCGGTAAGCTGGGGGCTTTGTCTTTGCTGCCCAGAGCAGCACTGACCAGGCCCAAAGCTCAGCTTCTTCTCAAAGTCTCATTTTTTCTACCTTTCCTGTATAATAAGTTAATTTGCCTTGTGCTGCCATGGCTCCCAGGAGACTAGGACTCACTGCAGAGCTTCTAGTAACGTCCCCTTCCCCTGTTCCCTACAAACCTCCTCCCCAAATCTGCTCCAGAAAGATTGCCCTTGCTGCTAGAGCATGTTGGCCTCCTCTGTGGTGTAGGGCATAGGCTGAACAGCCTGGTAATGAGGCACTAATGAGGAAGGAGCCATCCCAGGCTCTTGCTGACCCCCGAGGAGGATGGTTCCATCTGTCTTCAGGGGCTCTCTGGCCTCTCTGGTGGGTCTGGGCCTGGTTCCCCACAGGAAGCTGCTGAATGTCCTTACTCAGCGTCTGTCTCTGCAGCCACCTCCCGCAGGTCATCTCTTCCAGGCCATTAACTCTGCCCACGCTTTTTGTCATTGTCTCTGCTGCCATTTGGCTGGGGGCGAGGACCAGGAGTGGGACTGATCTCTAACAGGCCGGAGGCCCTGTGAAGCTGAAACGTGTGGGTCCTTATCATAACCCTGGGCCCTTATCATAACCCTGGGCCCATGGCTCTGAGCATCACTGATGTGCTCACATGTCTGTCATCAGAAGAGGCCCAAGGGTGAGGCCCTGACTCTGTCACTGTTGGGAGTGGGCTCTGCCACTGTGTGTAGCCTTGGGCAGATCCCACCCTGCCTGGACCTCATTTTCTCCCCCTGTAGAATGACATGGCTCAGACCGAGGGAACCCACTCTTATCTTGGCAGAAATTCCCAGCAGATATTTTATTGTACTTTAAGCATGAGGCAAGGAGGGCTCTCTGATCCCCACTGGAGATGCCAAGTGGTCTTGAGGCCTGAAGGTCCTCTGTAGTAGCTCTAAACAGTAAGTTTGGAAGAGTGGGGTCTCCTCTCCAAGGCTTGCCCTGGTGCCTGGGCTGCAGAGAGGAGACAGTGCAGACAGAGCTCTTGCTAGTACAGTTCAGCTGGTAGGTGGGACACCAGGATGCAGCATGAGGCTGGGGGACAACCTAGGCTGAGGGCTCAGAGCAGTTTTCTTCCAGTCTGATGTCCATTTGTCCTGCCAGGCAGTGTGCTCACTGACTGCAGCCCACAGAAAGAGGAAATAATTGCTGCCAGTGACTGTAAAGGCTTCTTGGAGGAAGCACTGATAGATGAGGGGAAGGAAGGTGCTATACTTTGGGTCTGGAATGTCTCCCAAAGGCTCATGTGTTGAAGACTTAGTCTCAAGTGCAGGAGTGCTCAGCAGGGGACTTTGGAGGAAGTGATTGGACCATGATTTCATTAATCATTAATTTCATTATAGTTTCATTAATTCATTGATGGGTTCTTAATTGAATGGACTATTGAGAGGTGGTGGGAGCTGTAGGAGGTGGGGCCTGGTTACAGGAAGTAGGTCTCTTGGGACACACCTAGTCTCTAGCCCCTAACCCCTTCCTCCTCTCTCTTTTGCTTCCTAGCCATCATGAGGCAAGGAGCCTCCTCCTTCACACACTGCCATGGCCATGATGGCACCATATATTTGAATCATGTAAAAAAATTCATTCTGCCAACCTGTGCTTTGCTGTGGAGTTTTTACATATTACAAAGGATGGGGACATCTTTGGGGGTGCATAATTCGGCCTACTATATGAGTTTTAAAGGAAATTAAGGTACTTAAGAAGCCAGGAATAGGAGAGCAAATTAACCTCTCATGAAATGCAAGAAAAGATGCAATAAAGATAAAGAGAAAGGAGTGAAATAGATAACAGATTAACAATATAGAAAAATCAACAAACTGAAAGTTGGTTCTATTAAAAAATTACTAAAACTGATAAAACTAGCAAGAATAACCAAGAGAAAAACACATATTATATCAGAAGTAAAAACATGACAGCATACAGATTTGATTGATAATACAAAGATAGTAAGGGGATATCATACACAGATTTAGGCTAACAAATTCAAATAGGTAAAATTAAAAACTTCTTTGAAAAAAAGACTTTCTGCAGTGGACACTAGAAGGAAAAGAGAACCTAAATGGCTCTGTATTTGTTGAAGAAGTAGAAATTGTATTTTAGGTATGTGCGTGTGTTGTGATACTGGGGATTGAACTCACAGCCTTGGGCATGCTAAGAAATCGGATTTTAAACTCCTTCCCCCAAGTCATTGGACTCAGGTGCTGGGAATAGCACTGTTTGACCCAAACTCTCATTAAGAGCAGTGCAACAGGGAGAAGCTCTGAAATCCAAGCCCGACAAGAACTTTACAAGAAAATAAACAAGAGACCAACATCACTCCTTAACATCCATGCAAATACTATTATCAAAATTAGCAAATAAAACCCGAAACATTTCAAAAAGATTATATATCATGTCCAAGTAGGGAGACCTGAGGAATACAAGATGAACATCAAAAAATAAGTCAAAGCCTGGTACAGTGGTGCACACTTGTAATCCCAGCCCTCTGGAAGGCTGAGGCAGGAGGATTTAAGTTTGAGCCCTTTCTGGGCAACTTAGTGAGACCCTGTTTCAAAACAAAAAAAAATTTAAAAGAGATGGAGGAGGTATAGCTCAGTGCTAAGGCCCTGGGTTCAATCTCCAGTATTGCCATTAATAAACTAAAGAGAGGAAATCATATGATTGTTTTAATAAATGAAGGAAAGAACCAGTTGATACAATCCAGTACCCACATGTGTGGTTTAAAAAGCCTTCAGAAAACTGGGAATGGAGGGGAATTGTTGTATATGTCATCAAATAGTAAAATATTGAGCACTTTCCCTGTAAGATTGGGAATAATGCAATACCCACTTTTACTAGTTCTACCCCACTTTATATGGTAGGTCTCAGTCAGTGCAGTGAACCAAGAAAATAAAAGACAAAGACCAGAAAGGAAGTAGCACATGACATGATTGTGAACCTAGAAAATCCTAAGCACTTTTCAAAAAGACCACTGGAGGGCCGGGGATTTAGCTCAGTGGTTTCGCCACCTGCTGCGCAAGCCCAAGGACCCGAGTTCCATCCCTGGTACCAAAAAAAAAAAGACCACTGAAACTAATTAGCAAGTTTAGCAAGTTGGAAGGACAGTTAGATGAATATAAAAAAATCAAAACAAATATAAAACCCAATAAACTATCAACAAACCATAGAAAAATGAAATTAAGAGATCATTTTTACATAGCATCAAGAATCCTCAAATACCTCAGAGTGACTTTTACATGAAATCTGTACTGAAAACTGCAAAAGGTAGCTGACGGAAATCAAAGAAGATCAAAATAGGGGAATAAACCATGTTCATATGTCAGGAAACTGAATGTTGTGAAGATGTTAGTCCTTCAAAAATTTACCTAGAAAAGCTGAGTAGAGGGAATTATTTAATCCCTGACAAAGTCCCAGGTGACTTCTGGAGAAACTGTGAAAGTGGCTCTAAATTTTATGTAGAGATGTACATCTTGGAGAGATATAAAACTAAGATTTATACAACCTGATTTCATAACTCAACATAAAGCTACAGTTTGACTCAGTGCACACAAGCAGCCAGTTTACAGACTCAGATGCAACTCCACGGGAACTGGAGATCCATGTGCGAAAGAAACACACAAAACAAACCTTAACTGCTCTCTCTCCCTGTTTATGGTGTTTGCTTGAGCCGAACCCTTGGGAATGCAAACCTGGAAATTTGCCCATTGTCCCTGGATGTTCCTGTCCCCTCCCAGGGCCAGCTGCCCACAGCCTCTTCTCAAGACTGCCTGTCTTTGCTCTCAACAGTGGCTGTGGCTTACCTCCCAGCCGCAGTGAAGGCCTTGGCCCCTTCCCATCCCCATGTCGTCTTGTTCCGCCACGCATCCTACCCACCCACACGCGCAGCACTCACTGTGGCCTCCTGCCCGTCCACTCCCTGAATGACTACAGCAGCTTCCTGATTTCATAACTGCAAGTCCTCTTGCCTGGCCCTGCTCACCCATCCCTCCACCTTGCTGTTAGTTTGGTGTCTTTAATACCATAACTTCATCACAATCCCTCCAAGATCAACAAGGTGCCCTTGATCATGGCACTGCTGCATCCGTCTCAGGTGTTTTCCACTTGCCTCAGTTTCCTTCTCGTGCTCTTGGATGGGGTTCCTCATACTTCACGGTGCTGCTGCTTTACCCTCTGTGCCCTTCTCCAGATGTCGCTCCTTGTGGACAGGGGCCACTGTGGAAGGTCTGTAGGCTGCGTGCCATGCCCAGCACACAGCACGGAGTTGGCTTGGAGGGCAAGGTCCTAGCAGCTGGGCTCAGTGGTGAGCTAACCTGGGGCCTTGTCTAATATCTGTGGTCAAGTTGTGGGCTGGCTGAGGAGCTTCCACAATTCAGGACCAGCCCCTCAGTTGCACTCCGTTTTAGCTGTATCATTTATTTGTTCAGCCTTATTTTTCATCAATTATCCATCCATCCATCCATCTGGCCGCCTGTCCTCTCAGTGGGCACATCTTTTTCCCATTCCCGGATGACAGCAATGACAGGGTGGCTGGCTCCATGTCCTTGGGCAGCTCTCCTTCTAGTGAGAGATAAGGGACTGAGCATGTGAACAACACCTGACTAAATAATGAGGAAACAAAGCCCAAGGTGTTAGGAAGCTGCTCTGAGGATTGTGGCCACCTTGGGATTCAGACAGGGCAGTTGTGCACAAGGGGAGCTGAGAACAAGGTGCACCTGCAGCGATGCCTTTGGCCTTGAAGGGTACCATGGGCTGCCCCCCACCAAGGCCTGGCCTCCACCATCCTGGCAAGTAGAGCCTTCCACCTCCTTTCATGGTCCTGGCTCTGAGCAGCCAGGGCACTCCCTAGAGGTCACCCAGTTAGAGAGGTGCCGACAGGGAGAAGCCCAGTGCCCTAGAGGTCGAATAGCCCAGGACAGCCAGGCCCTGCACTAGGGTGTGAGCTTCCCCAGGACCAAGGTCACAGCTGCTTGTCTGTGGGCTCAGCTGGCGTCCCCGACATGTCAGCAGCAGGTTCTAGCACAGAGGCCCTGCTCCCCATCTGTCTAGACGGGGCTATTTGTCATGTGCCCCAGACGCTGTCAGCTGCTAGGCTGCCCACCTGTCCCCTGCAGCACACAGATGTCCTCCATGGGACACTGAGCAGGCAAACAAATGACTGTCAGCAAGGGAAATGAAGCCCAGGCTGTTAGGAGGCTGCTCCGGGCACAGTGGTGACCTTGGGGCTCGGATGGAGAAGCTGAGAAGAGGGTGACCAGCTATTTCATGGGACTAGGATGATGGGGCTGACCTCAGAGCACCCTGCTTCTGAAACTGCCCCCATTCCATCTCCAGGTCTTCCAGGAAGGGGGCCACATCCTCTTGGGACAACTGTCCCCATGCAGTCCCCTGGGCCAAGCCTCCTCGACTTACCTGGGCTGGGGATCCTCCACCCACCCTCCCTGAGCCCACTTGGGCTTAGACCAACAGAGCTCCATGGCCCCAGTCTCCTTCTGGAGTCACCTTGATCCTGAGGGTTCAGTCTGGGGATGGGGCAGAGGTGCATTCATCCCGGCTTCTCTGGGTTAGATGGCACAGGTAAGTTTTCCTTCTTTCCACTTTTTAACGTTCTCCGGTTTCCACAGTAAGCAACATATTATTCTTCCAATGGAAAAAAACACAACTCTATTCAATATTTTGAAGGCTGCTGTAAAATACTTTGCTATAATAGTTTTTGCACAGCAGAGCTATATCTTTATTTTGGTAAAAAGTAAGATATAAAAGGAATTTTCTGAAGGACTGTATTGTAAAAAGACATGAGCAAAGTGTTCTTCACTAAACAAGTGTCCATCCAGGTGGAAAGGACGTTGGTAATTTATCTTTTCAATAAATATTTTCTGAGGGCCAGGGATTTGGCTCAGCGGTTCCACCACCTGCCTTGCAAGCGGAAGGACCTGAGTTCAACCCCCGGTACCACCCCCCCCCCAAAAAAAATCAAATTCAATAAATGCTTTCTGTAGGCCTTGAAATTTTTTTCAGTACTGTGGACTAAACCCAAGACCTTTACACTGAGCTACAATCCCAGCCCTCCCCTTTATTTTTTATTTTGAGACAGGGTCCTGCTAAGCTGCTCAGGTTGGGCTCAAACTTGTGATCCTCCTGCCTCAGCCTCCCAGGAGTGCTGATTATAGGAATGTGCTATCACACTTGGCTGAATGTTTTTTTTTTGGTACCGGGGATGGAACTCGGGTCCTTGCGCTTGCGCAGCAGGGGGAGAACCCACTGAGCTAAATCCCTGGCCCTTGGCTGAACGTTTTAACAATGCGCATAGAGAGAGGTTTGCGTGTGTGTTTTAAATAATCAGAAAAAAACTTACAAGATGATTAGTCTCTCTCCCCACCCCCACCCCCGTCTCTCCCCCCTCCCCTTTCCCGACCTCCCTCCCTGTCTCTCTCTGCAATTCTGGGGTGGGGGGACATCAGGCCTAGCCACAGGTGAACTAAGTAGGGGAGGGGGAAGGGTTAGCATGGGGTCCACAGCAGGAGCCCCTGGGCGGCAGCAACCTGGGAAAAGTAGGTGGTTCGCAGGTGGGGAGGGGACAGCTCAGCCGCCAGAGCTGGGTCTGTTGGTGATCAAGCAGCGCCACCTGGTGGTCTCTCTTGGTGACACCAGGAGGGAGAATTGGCAAGGTCACCCTGAGTGTACACTCTGAGAGGTGGGGAGAGGAGTGGGCTCTCAACCGCGGAAGTTTGGGGGACGTGGAAGTTTTGGGGGACACACGAATGAATGAGGGAGAAACGAACAGTTCAACTGAGGCTTCTCAGTGGAACAGTCGTGTGGGGGGGGAGCGGGTCCGTGGGCGTCTGCTCAGGAACCAGAGTCCTGGGCTCCAACACGCCCAGCCGCACTGGGGCTCCGCCGTAGCCATGGCGACCTGCTGTGGGTGGGGAGCAGCTTGCACACCCTCTCTGTCTCCCGACTTCTCCTCTCTGCACCTGCCCGCCTCCCTGGCCTCTTGTCCTCTGTCGGTCTGCGAGCCCACCAGGCCAGGGAGAGGCAGTGGGGCGGGCTGGTCTCCTACCAGCGCCCAAAGGCAGTGGCGTAGCGTAGCTGGTGTGTGGGGGCGACGGAGGGGACACACTTTTTTGGCATTATTGGCCAAAAGGAGAATTACATTGTAATAGTTTAGTCCATTTTAGCACTGCGAAGATATGTTGGAGGGCGGCAAACCGCAGGGCTGCACCACTGGAGCGCGCCTAGTTGAACGCTTGCCACGAACTATGTGAAGTCTAATTCCGCGGCGCTGACGAGGGCCAGAAGTCAGGGACAACCCCTGGGTGCTCTGCTGGGCCTGCTCCCCCAGGGCCCTCTGCAGGATCACCCTCGGCATTTCACGCTTCCCTCTCTGCCGGCCCATCAGGTAGTAAACCAGGGGCCTGGAGGTGCTGTCGATGCAGGCCAGGAAGGTGGCCAGAGGGAGGGACATCGGCATCAGAAAGCTCAGGATTGGCCGCAGACTCCAATAGAGGACAAAGGGCAGGCGACAGATGAGGACCAGGGACCCGGATGTCCGGACAACGCGGTAGAACTTCGGAAACTGGCGCATGGAGCAGCAGCTCAGCCAGAAGAGGGTCATGCTAGACCCACAGATCGTGGTCAGGAGGGTCGCCAGCCAGGCGATGCTGGCAGCATGGTAACGGAAGCAGGCCAGGCGAAAGCTGTCTTGCAGCATGCCGCAGGCCCTGGCGGTCATCAGCACAGCTGCTATGGTCATCACCCAGACCATGGCACAGACGACAATTGAGGTCCACTTGGGACGGCTGCACTTGCAGCAGGTGGGGAAGCTGTATGAGATGCAGCACTCGGTGCAGAAAACCGCCTGCAGCCAGAGCCCTGCTGCAAACCATAGGAAGGTGACCACGAAGAACACTGTGCTCTGGGAGGTGCCCAGCAACACATGGCTGATGCAGAAGCCCGCCTGGCAGGAGAGGAACAGAAAGTCGGCAGCGGCCAGGTTCAGCAGATAGGTGTTGAGGGCGCCCTTCCTGATGTGGAAGCCCAGGTGCCAGAGCACCAGTCCGTTGCCTACGACCCCCACGAGGGAGATAATCAGCGTGCAGTAGATAATGGTTTTGCTGAAGTCACCCAAGAGGTTTGGGAGTTGGAACATGTTGAGCATGTCGGAGCCGAATACATCGAAGCCGAACATCTTGGCTGGCTCTGAGGCACAGGAAGGACCCTGCAGAGGGTGACAGGTACTGACCACTGGTGTCGTGTGGAGCGTTGTCCTGGTGCAGTTGTGCATCTCCCTCCCAACTCTATGTGACTTCGGCCACACATACCTAATGCCTGTCACACCTGCAGGAGGCATCCCTGACTTCCTCCTGCTGGGCAGACAAATGTCCCTTCCCTGGTGAGGCACATGTAGAGGCCCACCAGGTGCTGGACAGCTCTCTGTAGACATAGAGGACATACAGGGGCCATATTCAGGGGGCCTCCCCCTTCTCTCTTATTAGGGACCCCACTTGGGGCTCCCACACGGAGGCCTGGAACATGCTCTGCTGGGCTCCTCACTCCAGAGGTCTCTGGCTGGACAGTGTCCAGTGATGAGCCCCCAGAGCACACTGCCCTGCAGGGGCAGAAGGAGGAAGAACGAAGATGTAGTGGTGGGGCTGGGAGGTGGAGGGGACCCCCAGCCTCCCCTCAGGGACCATAGAGGAAGTCCAGCTCCAGAGGTTACTCTGAAGCCTCAAACCAAGTGCAGGGACTTTGGGGACCAGCTGCAGGGCCTTGGGGTCCTCTCGGGTGAAAGAGGACAACAGTGTTTGTGGCCGACTAGAGTGACTGAGGAGTGGGCCTGTCTGTGCCCTCCCCAGAATGTCCTGAGAGCAGGAGGGAAGGGGCTCAGGGCTCCTGCCCCCATAGCACCCACACTGGTCCCTGTTCCAGCCCTGGGGACATGTTGCTGGGGCATCAGGACCCAGGCTCTGGGCGCTGAGGGTACCAGGGTGGGGAAGCAGTGGGAGAGGAATGGAAAGACAGGGAGAGAGAGACAGAGAGAGAGAGAGAGAGAGAGAGAGAGAGAGAGAGAGACAGAGGGAGAGGGAGAGGGAG